CAGTGTCACTTTTCTGTAGACTGTCTGTTGTTCGCAGCATCCAAGTTGTGTCCAAGGTTTTGTCTTCTAACCATTCCGCTGTGCTAGGAGTCGGGATCAGGCAACTTAACTGGGATAGAATATCGTCACAGTCCGCTCATAGTATTGTTTGCTCGCTGCGTTATGGAAACAACACATCAACGGGAGAGAAGTCAACATTGCGATCTGGAAACTGCGTGAGGGATGATCACCCCTGGCACCGAAGCTGGACTGTTGGAGTCGTCCTCAAAAGAATCGGTAGGTGATTTGTGGCGTCTGGGTGGAATCATTGAAATGGAGACGACATGTCAATCAGATACGACAGACTCTCCGAAAAGCGGGAGAACAGTCAACAGACTTCAACCTGTTGCGCGACCACCACTAATAGCCACTGCTTCACATGCATCGCCCAGAACAGATCCACTGATGCAACCGAGATGCCATACTGGCCGCGCTAGAAAACAGGTGGAGTCTTTTGAATTTTATCCGCACCGACAACCTGACGTTGAACTACCGAAACGGGAAGGCATATCAAGAAGGTCAGATTCCTGAAGATTATCTCAGAATACCCTAAATCACTCCGAGTAAGTAAACGCTAAACAGATAGTTCTGAGTCAAAGCCAGACGGTGCGAGACAACCTTGTATCACACCAGATAGTATTGAACCAGAGACAGTGCTTCCTGAAGATTATCTCAGAATACCCTAAATCACTCCGCTCCAGTAAACGCTAAACAGATAGTTCTGAGTCAAAGCCAGACGGTGCGAGACAACCTTGTATCACACCAGATAGTATTGAACCAGGGAGAGACAGTGCCCTTCAAGAAAAATAGCTTGAGGCCAGTGTGCTTCCGGAATCGCACTCGCTTGTTCGTAATAGGGTTCTTTGTCTCCGGCATTAGGCACTGGAGCGGGGCAGCAGTCAGATGTAACAGATTGGTGACGCAGTTGGATAGGATACCATATCTCTTCAGTTCGATTGCAACAAAGGCGATGCACCTCGCAGTATGGTCATCCAGCGATTAACGGTCCCCTGTAAAGTGAATGAGCAGCAAAAAAACAAATTTGCATGGATTGTTACGACACTTTCTACGGTAAATCAGAAAAGGATAGCACTGTTTGAAGCATGATACAGCTTGATATAATGCATGCAAAACTAAGTTTGAGGTAAAACCGAAAACAAACACAAAACCTTTCTATGGTGAACATGAAGAAAAACCCAGAATGATGTTGAAAGACGATAATCAGATTACTACCAGCTACGTTTGGATTAAAACACAGCAGACCTTCTCAATGAGACACCGAGGAACAGTTGCAACCAAACCACAAAAGAGTCGCATCCTGATGAACATCTTGTGCATATCAAGAAGCTCTGAAAAATATACTACCAATATTCAACGATTTCGTCTGTTGAAACTGAGCAAAACTAACAATCCCGAGACAGTTCATTGATCACGGAAGATGATGAAACCAACTAATGAATGACCCGAGATGTACTTTAGAGATTATTGCACGAACCGAAACGAAAAACTTACGGAAGGAATGAAAAAAGCACAAACAAAGTGAACATTCGACGGAAAATACCAAAGATACGGAATAAATAAAAACAACCAAAAACTAAGATCACAAACATCCACGGTCTAAGTGACACAAAGGCCTATGCATGTACAAAGAAACCAGAAAAACACTAAAGAGAAAAGAGAGAGAGAGAGGAAACTGACGCCACTAGAAACACAAAAAACGGACGCAAGCACAGAAAAACGCACCAACCACTAAGACACAACCTACCTGGTCGACAAATCATCCATCG